CATATATCCTTTCTGATTGGTGTTTCTGGTTTCTTGGGATATATTCCTAGAAGTGGGATCACAGGGTCAAATGGGAGTTCCATTTTCAGTCCGCAGGCCGACGCTCTATCCACTGAGCCAAACTGGTTTCGGCTATTTTGAAGTATTTAAAGTAGGATAGTGACAGCCTCGGATTTGAGACCAAGAAAGAACCTGCTTACTCCTGGGGCAGGGAAGGGGAATATATTCGTGCATGACTGCATTCATGAGCATCTACCCACAGACAACCTACACACGTGTATACCCACACTCGCCTGTGTGTACGGGGAACCTTCCCACAATGCAAGTGTGTGTCCTCGCATACATGTGTACATGTGTGCAGAGGGCCCAGCCACTGTCCCGTTCCACACACCGCTGCCTCTCAAAAAAGCCTTCCTATGCTCCTCAGAGACAAGGAAACTGGGTTGAGTCAATGTCCCTTTCATACACCTCATGGCCTTGCCTGCCCCTTTGTTAGCTTTGCTGACCCCATACCCCTTTCCCAGGGCACACACACAACTTATATCCCCACTTCATACCCTCTCCAGCCTTTCTGAGGCTTCCACTGGGGACCTGCTCCAGGGACTCATATGTGCAAGGTGGAGGCACCCAGCGCCAGACCTATTCGTGGAGAGACCAGTGAACTGAGGGCACACAGTTGGTAGTCAGGGCCATATATAGTTGTTGGGGAGCAAGGGCATGCCTGAGGGCCTCGGGCAGAGGGTTGGACTTCAGATATTACAGAATGTTCCCCTGCTGCCTCCGTTAAGCAGCCACTTCTCTGGGGCATTGAAAATAGGACTCTAGGCTAAGTAGAACATTTGGGGAAGCAGGGTTACCTCATAAATTGGCCTTCATTTCCTATCTCTGTCTTCCCTGCTGTACAGCTTCTCCAGGCACCTTTGGGACCAAAACCCTGTTTAAGCCCTTCCAAATGTGCCCTAGCTGGGCCTCTGGTCCAGCGTGGCCTCATTAGCTTCTCTGACAGACCAAAGTCTCCATCACCCCTCACCCCAAGCCCAACAACTATTGTTTCATTTGCTTCCCACAGCACCCTGGGGGTGGCCATTGTCAACTCCATCTCTGGGAGGAAGAGAAAGACTCGGGTAATGTGGTTTGCTCAGTCACCTGCAAATTCATTGCAGGGTCAGAATTGCGATTCCCTGACTCCCAGTCATTCATTAATTACGGCTGGTGAGACGCAGGGATTAACATTATCTGAGCACTTTTTATATGCTGGCTGCTTTGCATGTTTGTTTGTTTGTTTCACTTAAAGGCCAATCCTTATTGATAGGGATTATTATTGCCAGTTATAGGTTAGAGGCCCTAGAGGCGAAGTTGCCTGCTGAAGGTCATATAGCTAATAAGTTATTATCTGGAACTCAGATCTGCCTGTCTCCAAAACCAGTGCTCTTTGCACTGTCACATTGCTGCTTGGCTGCACCAATTGACCAGCTAGGCCAGGCTTTTAGAAGACAAAATAAATAAGGCTTGGTTCCATCTCTTAATGGGAATAGACAGTGGTTAATGTGATTATAAACTTACTAGAGGCCCAGTGCATGAAATTTGTGCATGGGTAGGGTCCCTAGCAGCTGCAGGCTGCTGGCCAGGGCCTTCCTTCATTCCATGCCATGCCCTAGTGGTCACTTTGCATATTAGGCTTTTATATATATAGATATGTGTGGGACTGTGTATAGGCAAGAAAGCAACCAACTCTACTGCGGAGAGAAAGGGTCAGGAAGCCTTCCTGAAAGAGATGGCACATCAGTTACTCCTTGAAAGATTAGAAAAAGCCAGAGAGGGCCTTGAAGGTAGGGGAAATGGTGTGAAAAACCATGGAGGTGAGACCATAAGGAGTCACAACCTATACTATGTAGGATATACTGTATGGGCCGTAGGTGATGAGAATTGGAGGTGGATGTGCTGGGCAGGACCCTGCTGTGGGGCTTGAATGTCGATCTAAAGTACTGAGACCTAAAAAAACAATAAATAAATAAATAAAGTACTGAGACTCGATTCTCTTGGTCCTGGAGAGCCATCACAGAGGCTAACATTTATTCAAATCAACATTTCCTAGAACGGTGTTTTTATGTCTGTCTATCCCAGTAGTCTGTAGATTCCCAAAGAGTAAGGCCTGAGTCTTTTCATCTTTTTCTCCCCAGGACCCTGCCAAGGAACTACTTGTTGAATTTTGAATATAGGGAGAGACCAGGTCTCTTACAGAATCACTGAGGGCTAGAGAGTCCAAAAAAGCAAAGGCCTAGGCAAGCTGGTATCTCCCAAGCCCTCTGCTAATTGTAGTCTTCCCCTCCTACAAGACCCAGCTTTGATGTATTTCTTCCAAGAAGCCCTTCTCGATGAGCTCTGCCTGGTCTGAAACAGACACACAGAGCTCTGTCAAGATCAAGTTCAGAGTCCATAATTTACTACCGAGTCACTTTCTATTTCTTTGTTTTATCTCGTATGATTCTACAGGAATTTCAGGAGACTTTCAAAAAAGAATTCAAGCAATAAAATTAAATAGAATAAGTAAGAAAAAATTGGTATCAGGTAATGTTTATTAAAGCTGAGAAAATAGACTGTGGACAAGCCTTCGTTGCCAGAGATAAGCCATAATCTGGTTCTGAGCTTCCTAGCGGCCAGTGCGAAAATAATAGAGAGATTACACAGTTCTTACAACAAGAAAGGAAAAGACAAAACAGTTCTTTAATGAAAGCAAAGCTTCCCCTAGCACAGTGGTGGCGAACCTTTTGAGCTCGGCGTGTCAGCATTTTGGAAAAACCCTAACTTAACTCTGGTGCCATGTCACATATAGAAATTCTTTGATATTTGCAACCATAGTAAAACAAAGATTTATATTTTTGATATTTATTTTATACATTTAAATGCCATTTAACAAAGAAAGATCAATGAAAAAAATGAGTTTGCGTGTCACCTCTGACACGCGTGTCATAGGTTCGCCATCACTGCCCTAGCATTTCACCTACATGGGGAGATTCATTTAGGGAGCCGTGAGTATGAAGTCCTTTAATGGTGAAATAGTCAAAGTTTCTAGAGGAGTTTCATTTGGTTCCTCTGGGTGAAAGCTGAGGGCATAATACCCTAGTGTATCTCAGTGGAAGTCCACTGCGTGTGTAGAGGGGAGAAAATGCACTGAATAACTTGAATGCTCATTGGCTGCATCTAGAAATAGGTCACAGTGTCTCTCTGACTACCTCAAAAGCACTGTGTGAACTCACTTTGGAAGGCGAAGAAGCTCTGCAATTATATTATTTGTTATTATTAGAGCTGGATGGGGTCAGAGAGGTCAATTGATTTGCCTGGGGTCACACAGCAAAAGAATTCTAGGATCCAGAATTTCTTTGAGTCTCAGGTACCTTATCTATCAAGTGAAGGGCAAAGTGGGTACATTACAAAGATTAGAGGAGATAAGAGATGTTGAAATGAGCTCTTCATGAGACAGTGTGCCCATGTGAGGACTCCAGTATGGAACCATTTTGTGCCCCCAGGGGGTCCTGGAAAGAGGGAGGAAGTGCTGGGGGACTGGGAGGGTGAATGGAAAATGAACCCCCCTCCTCCCTGCTCTCCCGCTCCAGCCTACCTCCTGAGCTGCGGCTTCCCTCCCCGGCCAGCCCATGGGGACGTGAGTGTGACAGACCTGCACCCTGGGGGCACGGCCACCTTCCACTGTGATTCAGGCTACCAGCTGCATGGTGAGGAGACGCTCATCTGCCTCAATAGCACCCGGCCGGCCTGGAGCGGTGAACCCCCCAGTTGCATGGGTGAGTCTCCTGCCACAATAGGTGGGGGCTTCTGTCCTAGGAACCCCACTGGAAGGGTTCTCTTGGGGGTCTCCATCTTTGGGGAACACCCATCTTGAAGAGTTGGACCCTGAAGAGTTGCTATCCTGGGGCCTCCATCTGGAGCTCTTTACATTGAGGTCTCCATCCTTGAAGTCCCCATCGATGGGGGATCTTCATCCGGGAATGTCCCACCTGGAAGGTTTCCATATTGGGAGTCACCGTTCTGGAGGTCCCTTCTTTTGGAGACTCCTCATCCTAGAAGAAACCATTCTTGGGGCGGGGAGGTGGGGGGCTGGAGTCTCAAACTGTGGGAGGGTCTCTATCCTGAAGAGTTCCTCCTGGGGATCCCAACTTGAAGATTTTCCATCTGAGGGCTTAAATTACGGGGCTCCCCCATGGTTACCCATCCCAGCATGTCTTCATTTTGGTGGAATCTCTGTTCTGGGGGTGTCCACTCTGGGTTTTCTTATTCCAGGTCTGGGTGCCCACCTGGGCAGTACCCTGGAAAAGGTCCTGTTCTCTGGGGTGGGCATGTAGGGCAGAGGCCATGCTGAGGCCAGGTCCCAGGCCAAGGTGTGGATGCAGCAGCTCTGAAGATTGGGAGGACAGGTCACCTTACCCTGCCCCTCCTCTGCCCACAGCATCCTGTGGTGGCACCATCCACAATGCTACACTGGGCCGCATCGTGTCACCTGAGCCCGGGGGAGCTGCAGGGCCCAACCTCACCTGCCGTTGGGTCATCGAAGCAGCTGAGGGACGCCGGCTGCACCTGCATTTCGAGAGGGTCTCGCTAGATGAGGACAATGACCGGTGAGGGTCTGGGCCTGGGGTCAGAGTCCCCACCTCAGGGAGATCGGGAGGCTGCAGTGGGAGACAGACAGACCTTGGGTGGGTCCCAGTTGGGGTCTGTGTCAAACACAGGTTAGTCCTTTTTCTTTGACAGTAGCCGTGGAAGCTTAGATGAATCTCTCAGCCTCTCTGTGCCCGTTTCCTCATTGGCAGCATGGAGGTAATAGTACCTCTCTCGCAAGTTTCCTGTGAGGATAAATGCATTAAGACATGCAATGTGCTTAGTGTGCCCAGCACACAGTAAGCACTAGAAATGTGTTTGCCATGGTCGTCGTCATCATATTATTTATCTAACAAACTGGTATCCCAGCTCTGCCCAGTAGTTGCTAGGTGACGTTAGCCAGGCTACTTAATCTTTCCGGGTTTCAATTTCCTCATCTATAAAATGAGAGGTTTCCTGTGAGCATTAAACATGATAAAATATGTAAAGGCTTAGCTAAGTACATGGCACATAATTAATGTTGGAAAACAATAGCTATGAAAATAAGCAAGGCGCTCCAGTGGCACAGCCGGTGAGCGCGCGGTACTTATAAGAAAACAAGAAGAGCGGGTAAGAGACGAAGCAGCTTCTGAGGGGAAACTGAGCTCCTGGCCACCCTCTGTCCACTCCAGGTTGATGGTGCGCTCAGGGGGCAGTCCCCTGTCCCCGGTCATCTATGACTCTGACATGGATGATGTCCCTGAGCGGGGCCTCATCAGTGACGCCCAGTCCCTCTATGTGGAGCTGCTTTCAGAGACTCCTGCCAATCCCCTGCTGCTAAGCCTCCGGTTTGATGCCCACACACGGTCACAAGAACATACTCTATCCCTGCTCATCTCCGTGTTTGGATTCCTGAAACCTGACTTGCCTCCCCACCCAAAATGACAAGGATCCCTTCATATGGGCCCCTTCTGATTTCCTGAGGCGGCCTTTTCTATTTAAGCTTCACCTATGGCTGGATCCAGGTACAGAGCCAAGGGACCGGTTACCTTAACCTCTCAGTTCTCTCCTCTGTGTTGGCTTCAGTCTCCAGCACTCAGTTTGTGGTGAACCCAGCAGTGCCAAATTAACATACTACCAACTGAGTAACTCTATCAAAAAGAGAGCAAGCATACCACTTTCCCAAGGGCGTCAGCGAAAAATGCCAGGAAATGTTCTGACGGCCTGGCTTAGGTCATATGCCTATGCCTGAGCCAATCGCCATAGCTAGGGGCAGATTATGCAGATCCACATCACGAGGCCATCCCTCCTTGGCCCCAACTGAACCTGATGGTGGAAGTGGGGGAGGCATGTGTGCCAAAAGGAAGGGGGATTGGATGCTGGACTGGTGGAAATAAGGAGGTCCGGGGCATTTGAGCTGGGCCTTACAGATGGAGATAATTTTAAAGGAGAGAAATTGGGAATTAATGTTTCAGGTGAAAGGAATGGTGTGAGCAATGGTAAAGAGGTAGAGAAAGGCATGTTTGGGAAACAGGATTTCAGTGTGGCTGTAGCAGAGGATGTGTGCAAATAGTAGCAGGAGAGAGACAAAGAAAGTGAAGTGCTCAGAAATGAAATGAATCAAAGGGTTTATTCATTTCATTTCTGAGAATCAGAGAAATGGAATTGGCTCTGGGCTCTAATGGATGTGTAGGATTTGGCCATGATACCTTATAAGGTTAAGTAACAGTGAGATAGACAGTGAATCTACAAAATAAATTGCATGTTCTATTCTGAGAGTGCAAGGAGCATGCCCAGGTTGGAGGCCTGCCCCCACAGTGTGGGCCACTGCTGACTCAGGAGCATCGGACGCCTGTTCGGTATCACAGGTATTGACATCTTAGCTCAGAGAATTTTGCAGCCAAGGTATGGTCAGGTGGGAAAACAAAAATGCTCTACAAATGTTCATTTTCCTGACTTAGTCCAAAGTCAACACACAGCTTTTGTGTCAGCTGCACTTTTGGGTGCCAGCCCAGCATGGATCATCAGGGGTTATCAGAATCCAACAGTTATGCTTGAGAAGAGAACACACCTCCATGAGCCAGTGTCCTGGGGCACGGTCCCCCCTGCCCCCTCCTTTGCAATTTCCAGAGGCAAGTGTTTGTGGCTGGTAATCAAGCAACCTGGGTTTCAGACTTGGTTCTGCCACTGCCCTACTGTGTGACCATGGGCAAATTTTTTTTTTTTGTCTGTGGACCTTAGTTTCCTCATCTGTGTAACGGTGGCTAGGATTTGACTAGCCTAGGGGCTTCCCTCTAGAGGCTGGGGAGGTAACATCAATGTACGAAGGACTGTTAGGGTTTTAGGGAAACTGGAGAGTGAAAGCTAAGTCCAAAGGCATTCAATTTTAAGCAGCCCACTGAGTGGCCAAGCAACACTTGAATTTCAGCCCAAGTTCCCAATGGAGACCCCTTGAGGCCTGTCCTAATGCTTAATGTGTGTGATTGACTCTTCCTTAGCCTTTGAAGAAGATCGCTGCTTCGCCCCCTTCCTGGCACACGGCAATGTCACCACCACAGACCCTGAGTACCGCCCAGGGGCGCTGGCTACCTTCTCATGCCTCCCGGGATATGCCTTGGAGCCCCCTGGTCCCCCCAACGCCATCGAATGTGTGGATCCCACAGAACCCCACTGGAATGACTCCGAGCCAGCCTGCAAGGGTGAGCCTTCCATATCCCAGTAAGACCTTCAGTGATTACCCCCCGAGCTGGGAATCCTAGGAAGGCCATTCACGGAGACCTGCATACCCCAACCTAATAAACGCAGGCCTTGGGTAATCTCTGTCCCTTTCAGAGACTTCGTTTTCAGAACTAAATGATTGGCGGGCTTGTTTCAGAATCCAGGGGTCACAACCCAAATGTCTCCAACAGCTAGAAGTGGAGCTGGGCCAAGTGCTGGACTGGCTGGAGAGTGGGCGGGGTTAATTAAGAGCAGGGCTGGGGATTGGATGCAGCAGGACTAGGGGTGGAAGAAAAAAACAGGTAGCAGGGAACCCGTGAGGCGGTCTTGGTGCATACAGTTGGGAGTGGTGAGGATTGTGGTGAAATGGAGATTACACGCCACCTGGGTCCTGAATTTGACACCCTTTCTACCCTAGCCATGTGCGGAGGGGAGCTGTCGGAGCCGGCTGGTGTGGTGCTCTCTCCAGACTGGCCCCAGAGCTATAGCCCCGGCCAGGACTGCGTGTGGGGCCTCCATGTCCAGGAGGAGAAGCGCATCTTGCTCCAAGTTGAGATGTAGGTTTGGGTGCCGCAGAGGATGGAATGGGTGTGGGCTCAGCAAACTGGTGTAACAACACACTAGCCTGCACCCCCAGCCTGGTAGCTCCTGTGTCTACCCAGGACTGGGTGAATGTGTGGTCTGGTGAATGAGGAGACTAAAGGTTCCTGACGCGGGTGTGGGGGTCAGGTAGACCTGGGTACACACCTAGTCAGCCAGTCTTGGACAAACGGCCTTCCTCCGGGCTATTGTGGGAAAGGGCATCTGGTCTGGAATCTCCCACTGGGGCCCGGGACCCAGGCCCAAGTTGCTGCAGCACCAACAGAACTAAAGTGGGTGTGGGGAGAGTGCAGTGAGCTGACTTGATATGAGGTAGTTAACGGGACTGGACAGAACCGGAAGCGGGCGTGGCCAAAAGCCGGTCCTCAGGCGGGGCCTGGAGTTGGGCGGGATGATCAAGAGCACGAGGAGCCGCAGAACTAGTGGAACCTGGAGAGACCAGCAGAGAGAAGCCCGTAATTGGCCAAGACGGAGGAGGGGCCAGACGGATCGGACCGTAGTCCAGCCTCCATATCTGGTCCTACTCCCTGCAGCTTGAATGTGCGCGAAGGGGACATGCTGACACTGTTCGACGGGGACGGTCCCAGCGCCCGAGTCCTGGCCCAGCTGCGGGGACCTCAGCCGCGCCGCCGCCTCCTCTCCTCTGGGCCGGATCTCACGCTGCAGTTCCAGGCGCCGCCCGGTCCCCCAAACCCCGGCCTGGGCCAGGGTTTCGTGTTGCACTTCAAAGGTACCGACGTCTGGGGTCCCCGGATGGGCAGGGTTCCAGCAGGAGCGAGGCCCCACGAGGCTGGACGGGTGCCCTGGCCGCAGAGCAGCCCCTGAACTAGCCGTCTCCACCCGGCAGAGGTCCCCAGGAACGACACGTGCCCCGAGCTGCCACCGCCGGAGTGGGGCTGGAGGACGGCTTCCCACGGGGACCTGATCCGGGGCACCGTGCTCACTTATCAGTGCGAACCGGGAAAGCCCTTCGGGCTCCACGCTCCGCTGGGGCCCCGCCCACTTCCCTCTGCGCCCCGCCTCCGGCCTTTGTCCCCGCCCCTATCCTGTCCAGGTTCCGTCCCTTCTCTCTGGGTCGCTCCGCCCTATGCCCTTGGTACCCGAAACTGTGCCCTCTGGACCTCAGTCTCACCCTCTCGGGCCGCCTCCCACTCTCTGGCACTGCTCTGGTCTCGGACCCCGTTTCCTCTGGGTCCTGCTTCATCTTTCCAAGGCCCCTCCACTGTTCTTCGTTAATTCTACCCTCTCTGGCCCCGCCCCATCAGCGCTTGGTTACTCGCTCCCGTTCTAGGTCCTGCGCCAGGGTCTCAGCCCCCAGCCTGTGACATTACAGGGAGTCACGTTGCTAGGGCCTGGGCAGTCAGTGAAGCCCATGCTGGATTTGGGCTGAGCTGAGACCCAACACAGAGGGGTTGGGGCCCTCCCTACCCTGCTGGAGTTCACAGCCTGAGGGAGGGACAGCTAGTTAAACAACTCAAGGTATTAGAGTGGTAACCACCATACTTAACATCTCTGAGCCGTGGCTTCTCACCAGTGAAGTAGGAATAGGGGGTTGTGAAGAGCAAATGAAGTTTTTCACACACTGCCTGGTGTCTGTAACAGTAAGTAATGGCTGCTGTAAGTACGAAGAAGGGCTGTGGGAAGAGGGGGGCGTTATTTGTCCCAGGGAAGAGGCAGGACATTTCACAGAAGCGGTGATATTTATTTTTTTATTATTATTTTTAATATATTTTTTATTGACTTCAGAGAGGAAGGAAGAGGGAGAGAGAGATAGAAACATCCACGATGAGAGAGTATCATGGATCGGCTGCCTCCTGCAAGGCCCCCACTGGGGATGGATCCCACAACCCGGGCATGTGCCCTTGACTGGAATCGAACCCGGGACCCTCCAGTTCACAGGCCAACACTCTATCCACTGAGCAAAACCGGCCAGGGCAGAAGCGGTGATATTTAAGGAGCTGGGAGCCAGGCTGGTGTGGCTCAGTTGGTTGAGCATTGTTCCATGAATTGAGAAGTCACCTGTTTGATTCCTGGTCGGGGCACATGCCTGAGTTTTGGATTTGATCCCCAGTACGGGGCATGCAGGAGGCACCTGAACGATCTTTCCATCTCTTTCCATCTCCCTTTAAAAAAAAATAAATAAAAACTTATTTTAAAACAACATCAACACACTTTAAAAATAAATAAGTAACGGAGCTGGGAGATTTTATCTGTTAGAAGAGCAAAAAGGGGTGGCATCGTGTCACTTTCTCCCTGTTTGGAGCAGCCTGTTACTGGAATAAGGGATTGTAGGTCTAGCTGGCCCTTGGGGGCACTGGTGGGGCCCATGAGCATAAAAGTTTCAGGAGGCCAGATTTGGGTTGGACACAAGTCTAGTTGACACAGCTTCCCAGACAGGACAGGGACAGGGACAGAAAAGGATGGAGGCAGGGTCCAGAGTGGGGAGGCCTAGCCCAGCTGCTCCAGGCTCAAGAGGGAATCTGCCCAAATGAGCCCAAAGCTGAGCTGAGACCCAAATCTCTGAATTTCAGCCCAGAGCTCCACAGCTGTGCCCGAGGGGTTCCAGCCCTGCCGTTCCCTGAGTGACTGTGCGCTAATCATTTGACTGCCCTGAGCCCTGGGCCCCAAGGCAAATGACAGTGATACTGACCTCAGGATCATCAGAGTATATATCAAGTTTTTGTTGTTGTTGTTGAATCCTGACTCAAGGATATTTTCCCATTGAATTTTCAGAGACATTGAGGCAGGTGAGGGGGGACGGGGAGAGAGAGAAAAATATTGATGTAAGAGACATATAGACCAGCTGCCTCCCACACTTGCTCCAGCTGGGAAGTGAATCGAACCCGAGAACCTCCGGTCCTCGGGCCAATAGCATCTGAGAAACACAGGCCAGGGTGAGGTTTTTTTTCCTGTTTTGTTTGTTTGTTTTTGTTTTTAATCAGAGTTTATATCATGTTTGTAAACATTTAGCAGGATGCCTTGCACAAGTCTGTATATAAGAAATGGCTGTGATTATGACTCTTCCACAAGGTTGTAAACTCAACACCTGCAGGGGCCAGGCAGGCGCTGTTAGTGAGCAGTGAGTGCGCTGGGAAGGCCGAGAGGGAGAGGAGCCGGCGGGCAGCTGCTGTTCTGCCGATGGCTGCCATGCAGGGCTGACACTGCGGGGCTTTAGCTGGTACGCTCAGTGCAGTGGTTAAATATTTAACATTTTATCCTAGGATGGGGCCTAGGTTTCCCCAATCACTGTGTTCCCGAAGAAGCCAGAAATATAAAACGCATTGAATTATAAGTTTTTCCAACTCCTGCTCCCTTCATTCTGAGGAAATAGTGGGAAGTAGGGGGTTCAGGCATCTCCTAGCCCTGAGCTTCTGGGAGGTCTTTTAAGGCACGAGCTCCCCTTGACTTCGCCCTCCTGCCAACAGTCATGACTTGTGCTGATCCTGGTGAGATCACCAATGGGCACCGTACCACCTCGGACGCTGGCTTCCCTGTTGGCTCCCATGTCCAGTACCGCTGTCTGCCCGGGTACAGCCTAGAGGGAGCCGCCGTGCTCACCTGCTACAGCCGGGACACAGGCACCCCCAAGTGGAGTGACCGGGTCCCCAAGTGCGCCTGTGAGTCGGGGGACACCTGGGAAGGATGGCTGGGTGGGTTGCTCAGCAGTGCAACTGGCATGTGACTGACATGTTCCCTGCAGTGAAGTACGAGCCGTGCCTGAACCCAGGGGTGCCGGAGAACGGCTATCAGACGCTGTACAAGCATCACTACCAGGCGGGCGAGTCTCTGCGCTTTTTCTGCTATGAGGGCTTCGAGCTCATCGGCGAGGTCACCATCACCTGTGTGCCCGGCCACCCCTCACAGTGGACCAGCCAACCCCCACTCTGCAAAGGTGCCTGGGCAGGCAGGGCAGGAGCGGGCATAGCAGTGTTTGGGGAGTGACAGGGCTGAGAAAGTCAGGCAGCAAATTCGAGACCAATGGTCACCCTGCCGAGCTCCCGTTCGCCTCCTGTGGGCTCTCACCCAGAAGTCCAGGGAGCCATGGTCGAGAAATGATCCTAAGGGATGCAGTAGAAGGGGCTTTGGTTTAGAAGTCTCTTGTCCTCTAGAAAGGTCTCAGTTTCCCTATTTTTGATAATTCTACAGACCTGGATGGTTTAGACTGCCCAGGGTTAGGATCCCGGAACTTCAAGGGGCCTGCAGGGGGAGGAAGAAGGCCCTGCCCTGACTCCTCCTCCCTCTCCCCCACCAAGAGAAAGACAAAGCTTAGGTTAAGCATCGGGCAGAGAACCAAGCTGTCCAGCCCAGCCCCACTGGGCTCCTGCCCTCTACCCAGCCTCCTTCCCTCCCTGGCTCAGACCCCGTCCCCTCCCCCTCCTCTCCCTGCAGTGGCCTATGAGGAGCTCCAGGACAACCGAAAACTGGAAGGTCAGTGAGGGCACAGGTGGAGACCCAGGCCTGGCTGAGTCGGGAGGGCAAGGCAGAGGCTGGGGGCAGGAGGCCAGGCCCCGGAGGGGCGAGGCCCAGGGTTCAGGGCCCAGGGCAGGAGGCTGGGAGAGCCCAGGGCTCGGCCCAGCCCCAGCTCAATGACCTCTCCCCCTCCCACCAGTGACCCAGACCACAGACCCATCAAGACAGCTGGAGGGAGGGAACCTCGCCTTGGCCATCCTGCTGCCCCTAGGCCTGGTCATTGTCCTGGGCTGTGGCGTTTACATATACTACACCAAGTAAGTACCATCCAGGGAGCTGTGGGGTGGGCATCCTGCCTGCCTGGAGGGTGAGGTGCGGTTGGGGGCTCACCTCTCTATAAGCCTCTCCATCTCCTCCCTTCCCAGGCTGCAGGGAAAATCCCTCTTTGGCTTCTCGGGCTCCCATTCCTACAGCCCCATCACCGTGGAGTCAGATTTCAGCAATCCACTGTATGAAGCTGGGGTGAGCCCTGCCCCTGCCCCTGGAGTGCCCACTCCCAGCTCCCCCAGGACGCCATAACTTCTCTCATGGTGTCTGTAATCTGTCTCGGGAATTTCAAACTCAGCTGCCTACAAAGGCCACATCAATGAACAAGCGAGTCAGGTGTGAACAGTAGGGAGTGGTGAGGACCTTGGCTCCCTGGAGAATGTGTGCCCCACCTAGTCCATAATGGAAACAGGCCCAATTGCCAGATTGTTCAAGACAATCCAGAAATTCTGGTTTTTATGTGCTTTTAATATGCTGTAGGATGAACCAAGCATATCCATTTCCACCCTATGGTGCCCAAACCACCAATGATGTTACCTGAAAAGTCCAGGTTCTTTCCCCTTCCCTGTGTTCATACTCCCATGTTGCTGCCTCCTCCACCACCATCCCACTCCAGCAACTGATCCCATCTCTTTGTCTCCAGGATACACGGGAGTATGAAGTTTCCATCTGAACCCCAAGACTAAGGCTGCAGGACCCAGACGTCCCTCCCCTCCTCATTCTGGGCGGGAGGAGTGCAGGACCTGGTCTCTGGCTCCTTCCTTCCTGTTGTGTAAATAGTCTCCTGGTCCCACAAGGGGGCTTTGTTGGCCCTGGGGACCCTACAGTAAATAAACCAGCATCCTGTCACCCAAAACCTCCTCTTCTCAGTTGCCAAATAAGGGGCCTCCCCCACCCTACTGGCTTTTGGATCCTGGCATGGGAACTCAGTTCCACTACAACGCCTGGGGCCCCTCCAGCCCAGGGTACCTCATAAGGACTGCCCCCCGAGAGCTCCGCTGTTCCCTTGGCCATGAAGACTCTGACCTTCCCAGATGCTCTGGCCCCCAGCCTAACCCCTGGGCTTGGAGGGTCAGAAGGATGAAGGGGGAGCCGGGACAAGGCCCCTGTGCCCTTCCTGCCATCTACTCAACCCACAGTCTCTCCACCTTTGCTTCTGGATTTTTGTTTTTGAGCAATAAACTGGAAATCACCATTTGTAACTGGGCTGGTGGGGTGTGGGAAGGTGGGTCCCTGAGCAATGGAGAGGGTGATGGTGGCCTCTGGAGAGAGAGCTGGGGAAAGGGGAACAATGGGAGGGGGGGGATCTAAGACTGGGCTCGGAGCAATGTCAAGGGGTCAAAAGCCTGGCTGTAGGGTCAGCCTTTGAGAAGGACCAGCTGGGACAAGTCCCTCTGGGCCTCAGCTTTCTCTCCACCAAGGCTGCTGTTTGTAGCCTCTTCTCGCCAGGCAGTAGCTGACAGCAGTCCCACCTCCTCCCTCCCTGTTTGGCAGGAGACAAACAGGTGTCAATTTGTCTCATGTTTACCCGCCTCCCTGAGAATTTTTGTATCCAAATGTACTATCTCCACCCACTCACCATTTTGGCACTTCAGCATATCTGCTTTATAGGTCTCCCAAGTATTGGTGATATTTGAGATGTCATAACCGGTGAGCTTGCTTTGTATCCTGTGTCCATTTCTACTTTAATTTTTTAAATATTTTATTGATTTTTTTACAGAGAGGAAGGGAGAAGGATAGTTAGAAACATCGATGAGAGAGAAGCATCGATCAGCTGCCTCCCGCACACTCCCCACTGGGGATGTGCCTACAACCAAGGTACATGCCCTTGACCGGAGTCAAACCTGGGACCCTTCAGTCCGCAGCCCGACGCTCTATCCAGTGAGCCAAACCGGCTAGGGCTCTACTTTAATTTTTAACATAAGGAATCTATAGCCTGTTTGTCTAAAGAGTTTCTAAACTAATTGGCTTTTACTTAATTGAAAATGTATTTTTAAATACAATTAAACATTTAGGACATTCAAAAGGATACTGAAATACTCAAAAGGGGGTTGAATTTTAGGAGAACATGGGGCAAATTGATCTTGATAATAACCTGAGTTTGGGGCATTTATTCTGGGCCAGGCATTGTGCTAAGCACTTTGTATGCATGTTTTTAACCCTGTGAGGCAAGGACAGTTATTCCCATTTTCAGATAAGGAAACTGGCTCAGAGGTACCAACTGACTTCCTCAGGAAGCTACAGTATTGACCAGACTGGAATGTAAATGAAAACTCCACAAAGCCGGCCGAACTGCCTCTGGCTAGTAATGGGTGTGATATGTTCCTGTCGGCAGGAGACCCCAAAGCTCAGAGGGGAGACTACAGCCCGATTTTGGTGGCAGAGGTGGCAAGAGTGGACCTGCTCAGATGCCAGGCCCGGACCTTACGGTGCTAAAGTTTGGCTAGGAGGCTGGGTTGGGATCCATAAGCACACCTCTGCCAGCAGGTTGATAGTAACGCCCTGAATTAAAACCGCTCCAATAATATGTCCACACATCTGACAAAAAAAAGGAAAAGAAAAAGAAAGGCCACTCCTCCCGCATCTCCATGCCAGAGAAGTCACACCGAGCACTGCCAGGGTTGGGAGGAGGGAAGGATCTGTCTCTTTATTTAAGCCTTGGTTTTCTGGCCGTGTCCTTGCCAGCTGAGAGTGGAGAGATGTGTGATGGTTCCAGGACATTCTGGAGGCTTCAGGGGTGATGACTGGAAGTGATTAATGAGTGTGAAAGGAGCTCTGAGGCATGTTGTAGAGGCACAGAATGGGGGAGGGCATGAGGGGCCGAGAGCAGTACCAAAAGGGGTTGGGATCATCCTTCAGAGGTCAAGCTGCTAGGCAGAGCTCCCTGGAAAAGAAAAAGAGGCTGTGACTATCTATCTATCTATCTATCATCTATCTATCTATCTATCTATCTATCTATCTATCTATCTATCTATCTATCTATCTATTTATTTAAAGGCTGTGACTCTAGATCCAAGGCCCATGTTTTTTTATCCTCCCATTCTTCCCCTATCCATCCAACCCCTCCCCCCTCCCCATCAATCATCTATCTACCCACCCACCATTCTGCTTCCAACCATCAATTCATTCACACATCTACCCAACATTCCCATCCATCTTTCCACTCATCATCTGTCTGCCCATCCATCCATCCCTCATTCACCCACCCACCCACGTCTCTACCATCTAATCACTCGCCCCCACCCCCATTTAAACTTCTTGAAGGCAGGCACTCTATTTGGCTCCCATCTATACTCCAGCTCCTAGAGTGGTGCTGGCACATAGTGCTTATTAGAGTAGTGCTGGCACACAGTGAGTGCTTACTAAACTAATGAATTTATCTACCATTTATTTATTCGCACGTTTACTTACCCTCCGCAATCTATTCATCCATCCCCCCACTCAATATTTTGACCACCTACAATGCCCTACAATTCGAAGATCTGCAAGCTTCTGTTCTTTCTTGAGCATAAGGAAAAGTCTCTTGGGACCACCAGGGGCCAGCAGGTGGATGAAGGGGCGTTGTTTAGCTTGGGATGAAATCCCCAATGAAGTACCATTAGGAAAGGAAGGTAAACTGCTATAAGGTGAGGCAGGGCCCTCACAGGGCATTGTGTCCAAGGTCCCCATCTGACACATGGGGCAAGGACAGCAACTTGCAAAAGGCTATCCAGTAAACAGCAAATTAGCTACTCAGGCCCAGGCTTTTATGCTACTTGAAGCTGCTTCCAACACCAATTGGGAGAGACCAAATGTCCCAAAGGCACTAGAGTCAGATCCTGGAGGACAAGAAGAGGGGCTGGTTGTGAGCTGTATTTGCCTCTGCTCTCCGTCGTGAACCTTTGAAGTAGCAGCCTCTGTCAGAGACATGACTATTCCCATGGCCTGCTGGACCTGACACATATTGACACTCAATAAACATTTGGTGACTATCAGTTCCTTTCCTGCCTTCTTCATGAATCCCTCTCTCCCCCTCTGCCAATCTTTTTTTTTTTTTTAATGTTTTTATTGATTTCAGAGAGAGGAAGGGAGAGAAACATCAACAATAAGAGAATCACTGATCATCTGCCTCCTGCACACCGACCACTGGGGACCAAGCCCACAACCCTGGCATGTGCCCTGACCAGGAATCGAACTGTGACCTCTTGGTTCATAGGTCAATGCTCACTCTGCCAATCTCTTAAAAGGAGAGGTTCCCCAAGCCTCCATCCGCAGCACCCTCTTCTTTCTTATGCTGTACACCACCCCCACCCTGCCCAGGGCAACTGCACACCCTTCAAATGCCACCTCCCTCCTAGATCAGGCTGCTTCAATGAGATTGAAGCCATATTTCCAACTGTCCACAGGGTATTTCCACCTGGAGTTTCTGTGGGCACCTCAAACCCAATCTGTTCAAAGGCGGGAGGAGGATGTCCACACTCCAAGAGGAACGAGAAGGCTGCCATGACCGAGTGCAGTAAAGCAGGGTGCAGTTCTAGGTAATGAGGTTGGAGGGACAATGGGTGGGAGGAGAGAGAGCATGTAGGGCCTTGCAAGCCACTGGAGGACTTCGGCTTTTACTCCGAAATGGAAACTATTGTGGAGTCATGAACAGAAGCACATCAGACTTAGATCACCCAAATCAGAAACCCGGCCGTCATCTGATTTCTGCACTCCTCACCACCCCCCCGCCCCCCCGCTAATATTTCTAATTGATTACCAAACTCAATCTTCCTGGTCTTTATTTTTCTTCTTTTTTCAATTACAGTTGACATTCAGCATTATTTTATATTAGTTTCAGGTGTACAGCATAGTGACAGTTATACAGACAGTTATGTAAGTTACAAAGTGATCCCCCTGGTAAGTACCCACCTGGCATCATACATACTTATTACAATATTGTTGACTATATTCCCTATGCTGTGCTTTATTTACATCCTTGTGACAATTTTGTAACTACCACTTTGTACTTCTTAATCCCTTCACCTTTTTCAACCAATCCCCCAAACCCCTCCCATCCGACAACCCTCAGTTTGTTCTCTGTAACTGTGAGTCTGTTTCTGTTTTATTCATTCATTTAGTTTGTTCTTTAGGTTCCACATATAAGTGAAGTCATATGGTATTTGTCTTTCTCTGACTGAATTATTTCACTGAGCATAATACCCTCTAGTTCCATCCATGTTGCAAATGGTAAGATTTCATTCTTTTTTATGGCCAAGTAATATTCCGTTGTATATATATACTAATCATCTATTGACAGACATTTAGGTTGCTTCCACATAATGCTGCAGTGAACACAAGGATGCATATATCTTTTCAAATAATCGAACCTGGGACCTTTCAGTCCGCAGGCCGACGCTCTAGCCACTGAGCCAAACCGGTTTCGGCAACACTTTGTTGATTTACTGATGGTAGCCATTCTGACAGGTGTGAGGTGATCTCATTGTGGTTTAAATTTGCATTTCTCTGATGATTAGTGTGACTTCATGTGTATATTGGCCAACTGTATGTCCCATTCGGGTCTTCTGTTCATTTTTCAATTCGATTGTTTGGGTTTTTGGTGTTAAGTTATATGAATTCTTTATACATTTTGGATATTAGCCCCTTATTGAATATATCCTTGGTGAATATCTTCTCCCAATAGATAGGTCTGTCTTTTTGTTTTGTTGATAGTTTCCTTTGCTATGTAAAAACTTTTAGTTTGATGCAACCCCATTTGTTTATTTTTACTTGTTTCCCTTGCCTGAGGAGATATATCCAAATATATATATATATATATATTACTCAGCACAATGTCAAGAGTTTGTTGCCTATATTTTCTTCTAGGAGGTTTATGATTTCAGATCTTAATATTTAAGTCTTTAATCCATTTTGAGTTTATTTTTGTATTTGGTGTGAGAGTAGTCTGGTTTCATTTTTTTGCATGTATCTATCCATTTATTGAATAGCTTGTCACTATTCCATTGTACCATATAGACATGGGTTTATCTCTGGGCTCTCTGTTTCAGTAATCTAGATGTCTGTTTTTTTGCCAGTACCATGCTGTTTTGATTACTATAGCATTGTAGTATAGTTTGATATCAGGTAGCATGATATCTTCAATTTTGTTCTTCTTTCTCAAGATTGCTGTGGCTATTCAGAGTCCTTTTTGGTTCCATTTAAATTTTAGGATTATTTCTTCTAGTTCTGTGAAAAATGCCATTGGTGTTTTGATAGGGATTGTATTAAAAACAGATTGCTTTGGGTTGGTCTTTATTTCTTATATCTGCCCTTGCTTTCATCTCTACTATCACTGTGACAATTCAGGACCTAGTCATCTTTAGCTTAGTCTCTTGGAATAATTTCTAACTGGCCTCCCTGCCTCTGGTCTCTCTCCCCTTTCCAATTCACTCTCCCCATGGACCACCAGAATGACTAATCTAAAATTCCAACTGCTCTTGCTCAAATCTCTTCAATGACTCCTCGGCTAGGAAAACATCTATGGATCTTGCTCAGGCCAGTGTTCTCAGTGGTTAGAGCATTGGCCCACACACCGAAGGGTTACAGATTCAATTCCTCGTCAAGGGCATGTACCTGGGTGGCGGGTTCAATCCTCGGTCCCTGGTTGTGGTGTATGTGGGAGACAATCAATCGATGTGTCTCTCTCATTTAGACGTATCCCCCCACACACACACACACACACTTCCACTCGCTCTAATAATCAATGGAAAAAATATCCTTGGGTGAGGATTAACAAACAAATAAGGATCTTAATAAAGCACACATAAGGATCTTAGTAAGTTCTCTTGATTAGTCCCTGGCTACCTTGCCTGGATACTCCCAACAGTTTAACTACTCTAGTCTCATCTCTCCCCTGCCCTAGGAAGACACACACACATATACTCACACTCACTCCACTGAGACTCACCTTTGTGCCTTTGCTCACACAAGCCCGACACTTGGTATAACCCCTACCTACTAACAAGTTCTCCCCTCGATAATTCTTTCTGTCGTGTCACCTCTTCCAGGAAGCTCCATGATTCCTTTTGTTTCTGTCCCAACTGATCAGGGATAAGTGCTCTTCTTGCTGTTTCCATTTCTGTTATGGGAACTCACCCATATTACATTGTAATTGGCCATACACTTGACTGGCCCCACACTACACTGTGACCTCTACAAGAGCAAGGACTGTATCATTCTTTTCTGTGTCCCAAGTTCCTAAATACTTGGTAGTAACCGAGTGACCTTGTCCTCTGGGGACCCTGTACATACCTTGTCCTGACGGGTGCAGGCATGGTTCCTGTCAGAGCTGGAGATGGTGGAAGGGAAGGGAGAGAGATGAGAACTCTGAATTCCAGGGTTGCGCAGAAGAGAATAGGGCTGCGGGTTTAAAAGTCCCCCTGCCCGGATGGGACGTTGTCAAACCCTCGCTCTCTCCCCTTACAGGCTCATCTTCCTCCCAGGACAACGGGCCTCTCCCTGGAAGCCTCACTCACCAGGTGTCGGTGCCTTGGGTCTTGGTGAAGAACTCTGGAAGCAGAGGCCCCAGTCAGAGAACACTATCCCTCAGCACATGGCCACCACCAGATGGGCTAGGGAGGAGGCTGCGGGGATTCCTAGCTAGCCGTGAGGAGTGGGTCCCGGTTGGTTTAGTGGGGGGCGTCTGGCTGTGAGATGGGGGAGACAGGGGAGATGGGCAGATTCCTGGAGAAGTCAGCTGTGGTTGGGAAGGAGTCAGGAACTGGAACTAGCGTTATCGGGGTCTCTGGACACAGTGGTCGCGACATGGGGGACTCACCTTGTTTGTATATCTGAGTCTCTTGGTCTTGCGTCTGTTTTTCCTTGCTGGGCACAGGGTTCACGCGGTAGCCAGCAACAAACAAGGCCTCATCGGTGAGTTCTGTGCTGATCTGGGCCAGGAACTCCTCAGAACGGGATAGTGAAGGCTTCTGGTGAAGGGAAAGTCAGAGGGCTCAGCCTGGGAGTGCCTGCAGACGGGGCCCTGCGTCCAAGGAGTTGAAAAGGGCTGGGCCCTGAGATGTGGCCCAGAAGGCCCTGTAAGTGGGGGGCCGTCTCTGGGGCCTCAGGGCCTAGTGCTGGGGGTAGAGTCTCTTAGGGGGAGTCTGGGTGCCCTGGCCAGACTCTACTTGGGCTCGCCCCCACCTCTAGAGCCCCCTCCAATGCTCACCGAACCTCCACTCAAGGACGCTGCAGCCTGGGACAGCCCGCTCCCCTTCCTCTCCTTACTCCGGGTGGGACTGGCTTCCATCCCCCTGGGGACAGTGGGAATCTGTGCTGAGAAACCAGCCCACTTCCTCCACACCCTTCCCGCTCCATTCATTCCCCAGGCCCAGGCTTAAAGCAGGCCTTTAGATAAAAAACCATCCTGCCTCCCCGTAGTTCTCTAGGGAGGAAGGGGGAAGTAAAAAAATAAAATAAAATAAAAACCGTCGCCTTAAATCCCCCTGGGTGGGAAGTTCCACAGTAACCCCCTCCCGCCGGTCGCCGGGGCCTCTTTCCTTCCCACCCACAGCCCTTCCCAAACAAGGCCGCCCCGACCTGGCAGACGGGCTGAATCTTGGGCTACCGGGCAGGAGGGAGGCGGGGGAGGTTCGGGGCCCCGGTGACAGGCCGCGGGGACGGGGAGGTGGAGCGGGGAGGAAGGCCGAGTGGGAAAGAGGGGACCCGGCGGCGACGCCGCTGCCCGTTCTTTGTATAAAACCCTTGGTGTTTGCGGGGTTCCGCGGCCCCGTTGCCAGGAGATGAGGGATTCCAGAACCAAAGGCCGGGAGGGGCGGGGGGAGCATTTTCCCCGCGAGTGGCACGCGCAGCTCCGGCTTCTCCTCCACCCCCCGCAGGTCCCTGCTGCAGGCTGTGCCCCCAGCGCCGGAGGCTGGAGAAGTGGGCGCCGCACTTTGAGCGGAGCCTGCGACCGATTAATCCTCCCACCACTAGGGG